GTTTCTGGTTTTTTACTTTTTTTGCTTTAGTACCATAGGGATTCATTTTATGATTAGTTATCCATTATTATACATTAGTTTTACATTATTATACATCTGGTGCTGGTTTTCATTTTTTAGGAAATTGTAAATATTTATCCATCTATCAACCCACCTACCTTGACAGCACACCAGTCTAACAGAGTTTGCAATGCTCTGGCATTACTGCAATGTGTGGCATCACATCCAGAAACCAGGTAAGTGCTTTGGGTGAGTGGGGAGGTTTTTGTCGAATATGGTCCTAAACTTTTGCCAAATAATGAGAGGAAGGGCATGCAGTAAGGCTCACTGTTTGTGTGGTGTGTGTATCTATCTTCAGGACTTTTACTTACTTTTTACCCAATGAACTTTAAAGGAGCAGTGTTCACATCACAGCAAAGGTGTCAGGCATACAGCACTTCCCCTTCCCAAATCTATAGTAGACACTATGTCATGTGTGAGACATAGTGTATGGCATATAATCGGAGTTCAGTAAATATTTTTCCAGTACATTTTGCCCCTGAACCCAGATTTGACTTCGGAATCCTTAACATAGCATTCTGGACAGCCACTGTAACAGATGGGAATTGGCATGTAACTTAAAACTTTTTTGCCATCCTGCCTTATCTGAAAAATTAAGAAAAGGGAAATCCTGTTCAAGAATCTGCTTCGTGGCTCTTATGGCCCTGAAAACACTTAATAGTCATTTTATTAAAGACTTTCCTCTGTTTGTCAAGTTTCCTTACGAAATATGAGTGCTAGGTTGGCGCTGACCGTACAAAGCTTTAGAGAAGTTACTAAGAAAATTATTTTCAAGCACTCGACAAAAATGCAAGAGTACTTCGAGTGTTAAAAAGCTCTCCTATAAGGTGTAACTATAAATAATATAAAGTAATAGACTAATTTCTATATTAGTTGCCTGATAGAGTAGCTGCAGATTGAATTGTTTTCAGAATGCTTAGTGTGTCTGAAATGCTCTAACCAAAAAGTAAAATGTGCATTTACGCAAAGCAGATAAACCTGATAATGGCTGCTTTATTCTGTTGTCTTCGTTTATAAGGTTTTATTCGAATGCACTTGTGAATATTATTATTCAGTCATAAATTAGGTGAAAGAGGTAATCTAGGAAATCTCTTGGGCACTTAATAGCATTTTATGGCCTATTTTTTTAAATCCACCGTTGGGTATTTTAAGTTAATCAGTTTTTAAGGTACTCGGTGCTGGTTGCAGGAAAAATCATGTGTTTTCTTAACCGCCTTGACATAGACTAGGGTTTCTAACCTTGGCACCACTGAAATTTTGGGCTGGATAACTCTTTGTAGTGGGAAGAGGAAGGTGGGAGCGGACTGTTCTGTGCATTGTAGGATATTTAATGGCATTTCTGGCTTCGGCCCACTGGATGCCAATAGCACTCAATAACCCTTAGTCATGACAACCAAAAATGTCTCCAGACACTGCCACATGTCACCAGAGAGGGGGACAAAATCACCCCATTTCAGAATGATTGGTCAAGACCTATGACTAATAACATTCTTTCCTAAAGATTCCTTGCTCTGACAATGTTATAGTCCTTACAGAATTAACCACCTGGAAATTCGAATGTTCAGGATCTTTTGAAATCAGCTCTGAGCTCTGAATGTGATTGTTTTTTTCTTCCAGATCAGCATTTCTCGCAGCACACATCCCACTTTTTTTGTACCCCTTTTTGCACACTGTGAGCAAAACGCGTCCCTTTGAGTATCTTCGGCTCACCAGCCTTGGAGTTATTGGTAAGTTATTAGAATTGTTTTGCAAGCTTAAAATCCCCATTCATAATAATAGTCTTAGTTGGGTGTTTCGTCTTGCCTCTCAGCTTTTGTTCACCAGTGTTCATTTTTGTCTTTAAGGTTGTCTCATTCACTAATAAATGAGTATAAGGAATGTGATGACTCTTATCAAGCATCATTCTAAGTGTTGTTAATAAGACCCAACATTTAGGATCAAATTCAGCATATATATAGAAACATTTACTGGAATTATAAGGAGAGTAAAGAATAAGAACTTGATTCAAAGAGTATTATAGGAATAAGAGTTAGAATTTGGAATTTCTTTTCTTTTCTTTTCTTTCTTTCATTCTTTTCTTTCAAGAGATGAGGTCTCACTGTGGTGCGCAGGCTCATTTTGAATGCCTGGGCTCAAGTAATCCTCCCACCTCAGACTCTTGAGGAGCTGGGTAACTGAGATTACATACACACAGCACTGTCTTTTTTGTTTATTTTTCTTCTAAGCTATTCTCCCATAACTAGTGAATTCTATCAAAAATTTAAGGAAGAAATAAAACAATTCTACAAAACTTTTCTAGAATGTGGAGAAAAGGGAATACTTCTCAACTCTGTGAGGCCAGTATTACTCTGATAATAAAACCAAAGACCTTCAGATAGCTTTCTCTGCTTAAAAAAAAAAAAAAAAAACAAAGACTTTACAAGAAAAGAAAACCATAGGCTAGTATCACTCATGAACATCGATGCAGAAATCCTTGACAAAGTGCTAACAAATCAAATCCATCAATATTATGTAAAAAGAATCATTGTAACCAAGTAGGGTTTATCCCAGGAATATAAATCCAGTTCAGCTTTCAATAATCTGTCAGTATGATTGACCACATCAATAGACTAAAAAAGAAAAAGATGTGGTCATTTCTGTAGATGAATTTTTAAAAAGCCTTTGACAGAATTCAGCATCATTCATGTTAAAAACTCTCAGAAAACTAGGAATAGAGAACTTTGTCCTTTTTTTTTTTTTTTTTTTGAGACAGAGTCTCACTCTTTTGCCTGGGCTAGAGTGCCGTGGCGTCAGCCTTGCTCACAGCAACCTCAAACTCCTGGACTCAAGCAATCCTCCTGCCTCAGCCTCCTGAATAGCTGGGACTACAGGCATGCGCCACCATGCCCGGCTAATTTTTTTCTATATATTTTTAGTTGTCCAGCTAATTTCTTTCTATTTTTTTAGTAGAGACGGGGTCTCACTCTTGCTCAGGCTGGTCTCGAACTCCTGAGCTCAAAGGATCCGCCCGCCTCGGCCTCCCAGAGTGCTAGGATTACAGGCGTGAGCCACCACGCCCGGCCTAGAGAACTTTCTCAATCTGATAACCCTACAGCTAAGATCATAGTTAATGGTAAAAAATGGATTCTGATTCCCTTGCATACGAACCACAGTTTGTGTTCTCTGTTATTTAAATTTCACAACTCACTGGAGAAACAATGCAGAGTTAATTTTAACTGGAAACGCTGACTCTAAAATAATTCTGTTTGTCCATATTTTCTTTAGGGGCCCTGGTGAAAACAGATGAGCAAGAGGTAATCAACTTTTTATTGACAACAGAAATTATCCCTTTGTGTTTGCGCATTATGGAATCTGGAAGTGAACTTTCTAAAACGGTATGTGCTTTTTAACTTAGGTTGTACATTGTGCTGGCTTTTTTCTTTGGAGACAGAGTCTTACTCTGTCACCCTGGGTGGAGCGCAGTGGGATCATCATAGTTCACTGCAACTTCAGACTCCTGGGCTCAAGCCATCCTCTTGCCTCAACCTCCTGAGTAGCTGGGACTACAGGCAATGCCGTGACACTCGGGTGATTTTTCTATTTTTAGTAGAGATGGGGTCTCACTCTTGTTCAGGTTGGTCTTGAACTCATGAGCTCAAGGGAGCCTCCTCCTGCCTCAGCCTCCCCAAGTTTTAGGATTTCTTTTTTTTTTAAGAGACAGGAGCTCACTGTGTTGTCCAGGCTGGGGTATAGTGGCTATTCACAGGCACATTTGTAGCATACTGTAGCCTCAAACTTCTGCGCTCAAGCCATCCTCCCCACTCAACTTCCCATGGGGCTAGGATACTGGCAGGTGCCACCACCTGGCTATTTTTGAAATTTTCATTTTGAATATATAGCACATGCATGAACTTAAAAAATTTAAATAGTATAAACAAGTATACAAATAAAAGTAAATCTCCTCCTACCTCAGCCTCTCAATTATTCTCCCCAGTGATAACCACTATTACCACTTTCTTGTATCCTTCCAGAAATATTCTATATATATGTAGCAGTTTCATTTTATACTCAAATTTTTTTCTTAGTGTCTGCCCTCTCACATCTCCTATCTTTTCAGCTATTCTTTGAATATTTTCTTTTCTTTTTGAATTCTTTTTTTTTTTTTGAGACAGAATCTCACTCTTTTGCCTGGGCTAGAGTGAGTGTCGTGGCGTCAGCCTAGCTCACAGCAACCTCAAACTCCTGGGCTCAAGTGATGCTTCTGCCTCAGCCTCCCAAGTAGCTGGGACTACAGGCATGTGCCACCATGCCCGGCTAATTTTTTTCTATATATTTTTAGTTGGCCGATTAATTTCTTTCTAATTTTTAGTAGAGGCGGGGTCTCGCTCTTGCTCAGGCTGGTCTCGAACTCCTGAGCTCAAACAATCCACCCACCTCGGCCTCCCGGAGTGCTAGGATTACAGGCGTGAGCCACCGCGCCTGACCCAGAATTCTTTTTTTTAAATGTTTTTAAAAGTGTATGTTCTCTTCAATTTCTTTGAAGGTGTAGGTAATTATTACTTGTTACTTCTTGATGTATGTCTTCATAAAAGTTTCCTTGTGGAACATTTCTATCGAGGATTGCTGTTTGTCTCTTGGATATAAAGAGAAGTGATATGACCTGAGCTTTAAAATCAAGTTATATTTCCAAATACTTTTCCCCCAAGTCTACCAGTTGGGGCGGGGGTGGGGGCAGTGTTAGGGAGGTATTTATACCTCTGTCCTCAGTTTTCTGCTTACATTCATAGAAGATAATGTGGATCTATGTTCATACTTTTCTTCTCCCATTTCTTCCCTAATTTTAGTTCCTTTTGTTAATTTCAGTGGATTTCAGGGAAAACATTGGAATGCATACAACCGTACTCTGTTATCTTTCATTAGTAGATACCTATGAATAGGTTTTTTAAGTTGGCTTCTTACAGCTGCAGCAGAAAAAGACCTTTTTCTACTCTGGTGATATCTCTTTAATGAAGACAAAATTCTTCCGTTAGGAAAGCATGTGCCAAAATTATTTTATTACAGAACATTCTTTAAGTTGTGCATTGCCTGAATACCAACAGAAGATTGAGATATAATGAAACCTTAGATTAAAGTATATATATTTTTTAAAAAGGATCTTAGCTAGGCACGTTGACTCACACCTGTAATCCCAGCACTTTGGGAGGCCGAGGTAGGAGGATTGCTGAGGCAAGGGTTCAAGACCAACCTGGGCAGCATAGCGAGACCCCATCTCTACAAAAAATAGTTTAAAAAATTAGCTGGGCATGGTGGCATGTGCCTATAGTCCTGGCTCACTCAGGAGGCTAAGGGAGAAAGATTATTTGAGCCCAGGAATTCGAGGTTGCAGTGAGCTGTGGTCACATCGCTGCACTCCAGCCTAGGCAACAGAGTGAGACCATGTCTGTAAAAAGAAAGATCTCTCAAACTAATTGCTATAAGGAATTTTTTTTAAATAAGTGTTTAAAATTCCAATAACATCACAGTATATTAGTAAGGTAATCTATGATTTAGATCTGTGATAATTGAATATAGACAACAGACAGTATATGTTATTTAGTAAGTAATGCTCCTGATTCTGTGTAGATTGTAAAAAGGGATCTTGGTATTCTCAGCTATGATATTCCTATTTCATAAATCCTGATTACTGCATAATCAGCATTTACTAAGTGCCTTATATGTGCCAGTTATTATTAATATTTTAAGTACCGTATGTGCGTTATTCCATCAGTTTCTCACAATTGTCATCTCCATAGTACGGATGAGGAAATGAAGGCTTACAGTGTTTAAGTAATTTGCCCAAAGTCACATAGAAATGATGGAGCTGAGATTTGAACCCAAACAATCTGACTATGCTCTGATCCACCACGCTAACAAGAATAACTATATAAGTATTAGTATTTTTATATATTATTTAGGAAAAATACTAGAAGAAAATAGCATATTCTACATGCTACTCACACAACACAAATTCAGGAATCTCTCCCTCCTACCATCTGTCTCTGCCCTCCCCTTTGGAATAATAAGGGACTTGAAAAAGCTACTTATGTTCTGAGTCTTTCCTAGAGAAATCGCCATTTTCATAAATACTGCTGTATAGATGGTAATTCAAATGTTTTAGCTTATTCTGGCTCTTACAGTGAGTTTGTTACAAAACACTGTAAGACTTCATTGTTCTCTTCCAAATATATTACCTACTAGGTCATATTTTATATCCCATACCAGGAGATTATGTTTTCCTCCAGCTACTTCATTGCTTATATTTCAACAATGAAGAAAGGAAACAATATATCTCATTTGAGAAATATTAAAGCAAATGCATGTGATCGGCAGTTATACTTAGCACATAGTAGATGTTCAATAACTAAGAAAAATCTCTGAGTTTTTAAGAATTTGATAATTACCCAGAGCCTACCCTTTTATGTAAAATGAGAATAATAATGGTACCTACCTCATAGATTTAGTGTAAGAATAAGATGAAGCATGTGAAGCCTTTAGGAAAAATTCTGGCACATAGTAATGTTCAATATGGTAATTTTTTTTGTACTATCTATATATGATAGACTAAGTTGTGTATAATATACAAGAATCTCTGCTTGCTCAATTTTCTGATTAAAAGTCATGCCAGAGCAAATCAATAGCCAATTGGAAGATCAGCCTGAGCAACTTTTTGAACTCCTTAGTTTTGTTTTACTCCAGGTTGCAACATTCATCCTCCAGAAGATCCTCTTAGATGATACTGGTTTGGCTTATATATGTCAGACATATGAGCGTTCCTCCCATGTTGCCATGATCTTGGTGAGTTCTTTCATCTACACTCTTTGCAACTACTTCTGATCATACAATTTACTCCCTTTGCAGTTGGCACTGAGCAACTTCAGTCTTCTAATTAGAAGTAATAATTTTTGAATCTTGTATAATGATTCTTGGACTATCTGCTCTGGTGTCAATTAGAATTATTTTGTGTTTCGTGTGTTTTTTCTAACTCCTCCCCCTATTTGGGAGGAAACAGGGTAAGATGGTCCTGCAGCTATCCAAAGCGCTTCCTGCCCGTCTGCTGAAGCATGTAGTGAGATGTTACCTTCGACTTTCAGATAATCCCAGGTAAACATTTACAGGATTTGTAGGACTTTAGGGAAATACTCTTCTTAATAACTTCTGCATCTTGTAGCATAGCTCCTATATCACTGGGACTATATTTAGTTGGTCTAAGCCAGAACTTAAATTCCTTTTAAAATCTGAAGTCCTGAATTTAAAAATCCATCAGAGTTGTATCTTCCCACTGTAACTCTTTATCCTAGTCTGAAATTCCAGAGAGTCTGCACAATTCCAAGGGAAGCCTTATGATGCATTACTCCTGTGGTTTGAGCTTTCTGTTACTACTACCAAGTGGTCAGAAAGGGAAGTATACTTTCAAAGATCTCTTAGAAAGGAACACAGCCCAGAGGGCTCTTGAATTATATTTCCATTTCTCTCCTTGATTCCTGTAAGGTTCTTGAGCTAATTATTTTATCTCCCTATGTTCATAATTTTTCTGCCAGAAATCATACATTGTAGATATGATGCAATTTAGAAATGTTTGACCTTTTGCTTTGTAAATCCATAATTCATACCAAAAGCCACTTGCTTAGATTCTGCTAAACCACATAATGGAGTGATTTCTGTATTCCTAGGAATGGGGATAATTTGATATAATGTGAACTCAGTCTTCTGCCACTGAGTTTATTTAAGCTGTACCTATTTCTTTGACCATTTTGTCCTGTTTTTCAGTGGTTCCTGTTTTCACCAAAGATTAAAATTGTGTTTATTTAAAATTCTACTTGTACAAAGGAAACTAGTCTGAGTATGAAAGCTATGTCGTTGTTTAACATAGCCCTGTAAATAGTCCTATAAATAGTTAACATTTACCTTTTGTAGGTTTTCAAATTTGACTTTCTGCTGGTCATCTTTTAAAAGAAAATGAAACATTTAAAAGTTCATCTGAGAATACTGCTACCATACTTTTATTTTTACCCCTCATCTCTTATTAAGGTTTTTAACTACAAAACTAAAGCAATTTCTGTAAAGTTATAAACTGATAAGTTGGTATAGAATTAAAATTCATGAATTTATCATATTATATATAAATGGGGTCATATCCTGTTAATACACTGCTTTTTAAATATTTATTATTAATTCATATATTTCTAACATGAGTATTTTGACAGCATTTACTATAAAAGCAGTTTGAATTGAAGTAAACTGTTGTGCCATTGTATTCCAGTTTGCTTTTTCATGAAATTCTACAGTGAGTCATCATTCTGAAAGTGTTTGCAGACTGTAGCTTCTGAAGATCACTGAGCCTGTGCCTAACATAAGCTTTAGAGGACTTTAATAGCTTCTTAATGTAAACTGACAGAGCCCTAGATTCTAGCATTCTGTATATTTATATCTAAGAAAGGGGCCCTTCCCTGTCCACAAAATGTGGGTTTATTTGTTGGTCTCCCTGGTTTGTTTGTTTATTTCTGATGTAGGGCGCGTGAAGCACTCAGGCAGTGCCTCCCTGACCAGCTGAAGGATACGACCTTTGCCCAGGTGCTAAAAGATGACACCACCACGAAGCGCTGGCTTGCACAACTGGTGAAGAACCTGCAAGAGGGCCAGGTCACCGATCCCCGGGGTATCCCTTTGCCCCCTCAGTGATCTTCCCTTACCCCTCCCACTATTCCCCGAAGTTGGGGAAGGGAAGGGGAACCTATGAGGAAAAACAGCTCAGGTTTTATCGCCGATGGAATAGACAACCTCAGTGCTGAACTGCGCTGGAGAAAGGGGCAAGGTACCCCTGCTGAGGTGTATGGGCTGCCATCTCACGCTGCCTGAGGACCTGGGCTCCCTCTGCTACTCCCAGGAAATGGGCTCCTGTCACAGCAGTCTGCCACCACAGCCCCAGGAGGGTGTCAACACCAGCAAATGCTGTATTTGCAGCATGCCCAAGATGACCCTCTCCCCCACCTCTACATAGCCACTGGCAGAGAGGGGAGACAGTGGTGATAGCAGCAGCACTCTAGGCATGGTGAACGCCTGGGACCAAGCCTTGTGGCGATTTTTTATTTTGCCTTCCTGGAAGACTCAAAATGTGTCTCTTCATTCTCTCTCTCAGTATTTGTTTACTTTGCTTTTTGGTTTTTAATCTCAGAGAGAGGTGTGTTTAGTGGGCACAAGCTGTAATATTCAGCAAAACTTTGTCAATTGGCACTGTTTACAAGTCTGTTAGCTGCATAAGCTCAATAAAAAGTTGGTCTGGGCATTACATCCCCTCTGGCAGGCCAATAGCTGCATCGAGCTGTTGGGAGGAATGGGAGGCAGGGGAAAGATGTAAAGCCAAAGGACACCCACCGCCCATTTCCCTTCTCCGATTCTCTTCTCCTATTCTACTCTCAGTCCTGAATGCCACAAGGACCTTAACCTTGTTTCTGGCTTTAGCTGCTAGCTTTTCCAAATCTTAGTACTTTTCCTTTCTATTACTTTCCTCCTATTAAACTTAAAACAGACGTCTTAATTCATCAAGCTATGCTGAAAGGGTATTGGGGGGCAAGGGGCAGTGGTGGACCTCACCTTCGGTCCAAGTCTTCAAAGATAACTTCTGGATGACTCTTTAAAGGGAGGGTGCCAGGGATTAAGGTGACAGACTACTTGATCCTATTCTTTTTTTAGTGTGAATTTCAGCAGCTCCATCTGTCTTCATGATTGTACTTGAAGCAGTATTAACTGAATGAGTTAATTTTATTCAGATTTAAGATGGAGGGCTGGACTCTGCTCGCTCAGTCTTTTTTTGTTTTTGTTTTGGGGTTTTTTTGTTTGTTTTGGGTTTTTTTTGACAAATTTTCTTTTGGTCTATAGGAATTATTACAGGGTTGCCAGTAAAATGTTTTTCACTTGTTCATATTGTGTCAGAGAATTCCCCTTCTCAGGAGCTCTAGATAGTTCTGTTCACAGTCCACAGGCTTGAATCTATAACCTAGTGTAAACCGCCTTGCTTTCCCCCAATCCTTCCCCTGCTGGCACCTGTTCCCTTTCTTTCATCCCCACCTCCAGTCAAAGATGAGATCCAACTCTAGAGAGGGACCGAGTCTTTTCTGTCCACATCTCATACAATTGAGGTGTATCTGAACAATTTTGGGAGGGTCTATAAGGGGCAGGCTCAGAAACCTTTGCAGAGGCAGTTTTGCCAACACAAGGGCTCTTTCAAGCCGACTTTCACAAAGAGAGCCGGCCTTGTTAGTTGGCTTCTGTCTCTTTAGAGCCAAGAAAGTAGTGTTAAGTAGCCTAGATGTAGGAAGAGTAGGATAAGCACTTATTCCCCTGCCTACCGATGAAGAGAACCAGGCCAGCTTCTTAGTACTCTCAAGCCTGAAGAGGAGAGGTCTTGGAGAAAGCAGAGAACAGCATGGACTGGATAGATGTCTTAACTCCCTTCAGCCCATAGTCTGTTATCTGGAGGGTCCAGCTGGGGTAACCCTGACTTTTGACAACCGCCTTCCTGCTGAGCCAAAGTTTTCTCATTCCCCCTCCACTGGGGAAGTAGCTGAGGCCCAGGGCCTTGCTCCCTGGGAAATTCTCTTCTCTCCATCTTTCGGTGCATTGGCCATGTTACTGTGCCAATAGTGTCTTAATTCTTGTCTCATCTATTCTCAGCTGGCCTTGGAACCCACATAGGAGTTGGTGGGGGAGGGGTGGAATGGGTATTATTCCTTGTAGTTGATCCTGATGTGTGTCTTACATAAAGAGACCCCTCCCCTAATTTTGTGTTTTCCTTCCCTCTCCCTCAACAGGATTGAAATAAAACATGCTTCTGTTTTTGTAAAAATAATTTTCCTTTAAACTGGAGATTTATTCTGTCAATATAGGGATAACTAGGCACTTTGGTCAAGTGATCCTTGTCATGCCTGCCTCGACCCTCTGTCCACCTACACACACTGCCCTGCCAAAAGGATGGTGGTGGCACTTTCATGCACATGTTTTTTGGGAGACTCCAACTGGTGTGCAGAAGCTATTTAGGAGGCTGGGATGGTGCCCCTTGCCTAATAAAGTATCTCTTGTTTGGACAGAACCTCACTCCTGGCTATAGTGGTCAGAGCTTAGTGCCAGTGTGGGAGAAACTGCCATAAATGAAGAGGTAATGCTTGAAACGTTTTGTCATGGACTTTTAATTTTCATCTCTGAAGTTCAGGACTTGGAGCACATCTTCATAGTTGTTTCTATGCCTGACAGTGGGACAACAGCCAACCCCTTCTTCTAGCTGCTTTTTTCAAGGGCTTGAGAAGGCCTATGACTGTTTCAGTGGTGGAGCAGGGCAAGGAGAGGCACTGGTAGCCTTCAGAGCGTACCTTCCTTACTGTCTACATAAGATTCCCCGGCTCACTATTCCTGCTGCTTAGAGGCTAGGGAAAAGGGGATATACAAAGCTGCTATCAAGAATCCAAGGAAAAAGTTTGGAATAGGAAACTAGAATGAAATGAGATTTCTTTCCTGATACGTTGTGGGATTTAATTTTTGGAAATAGGCTGGGCGTGGTGGCTCACACCTATAATCCTAGCACTCTGGGAGGCTACAGCTGGAGGATTGCTTGAGGTCAGGAGTTTGAGACAAGCCTCAGCAAGAGTGAGACCGCGTCTCTACTAAAAATAGAAAGAAGATAAATAGCTGGACAACTAAAAATAGAAAAAATTAGCCAGGTGTAAGTGGTGCACACCTGTAGTCCCAACTACTTGGGAGGCTGAGGCAGGAGGATTGCTTGAGCCCAGGAGTTTGAGGTTGCTGTGAGCTAGGCGGACACCACAGCACTCTAGCCTGAGCAAATATATCATTTATTTCAAACGCAAATATAACAGAAAATTTGAATGACAATTAATGAACGTAGCTTAATTGACATATATAGGACAGACACTACACTCTTTTGTGTGTGTGATTATTTTAATCTTTTTTTTTTATTTCAGCATATTATGGGGGTACAGATGCCTAGGCTACGTATGTTGCCCTTGCCCCGCCTCCCCACCAAGTCCGAGTTTCAAATATGTCCATCCTTCAGGTGGTGCGCACTGCACTCTTGGTGTATACATATACCCATCCCCTCCTCCCTCCTCCCCCCTCCCCC